AAAATGTCTTCTGTCTTGATCTTTACCTGATGGTAACGAAAACACATATCTATTTTGGAGAAGACCTGGGCACTCGGCAACTGATCAAAAAGGTCATCGATCCTGGAGGAGGTACTTGTTCTTGATTGTAACCCTGTTCAGTCCCCTGTAGTCAATACATAACCTTAACGTCTCATCTCCTATTCCTAGTAAATGGGACTCCAGCACTCCAAGGAGAAACACGGTGTCGGATGAACCCATTGTCCTGCAATTTCTTGATCTATTTCCTCAACTCTTCCATTTCTACATGACTCATTCGATAAATAAAAACTGAGATAGGGCTACATACTAGACTGAAAGTCTATGGTGAACTCAACTTTCCTGTTCACTGGTGGTCCGGGAGGTTCATCAGGAAACACATCCGAAAAGTCTTAGACTATTGGGATCTCTTGAATACAAATTTCTTTCTTAAATTTGTATATTGTAGAGAAAATAATCGAGTTAAAGTGTTATGTACTAAGAAATTTGTTATGAGAGAATAATATTCAAAACTTTTATTAGCTTGTAAATGACTCTTTCTTATGAGGCTTAAATACAAATTTTCTTATGAAACAATCTATGGTGGCATGATAAGTTGCTAATTAGTTCATTCTTAGAAATACATCAGGGTCCCCCGTGTCAATCTCTATCAAGTCCATCATGGGTGAAATCAAATCCTATGAAAGAGGGGCTAGATGTTGCTGAAGAGGGACCGGGTGGTCCTGTAACAGTGCCGGATGATACAGTGGGGCTCTGAATTATATTATGACGGTGTCGGATGATACAACTGAGGAGTAGGGTTGCATTGAGGTGGCGTTAGATCCTCTTGTAGGGGTGGCTCATATTGTGAAAGTGGTGGAGGGTCAAACAATTCCCTCCTCTCTTACCTGGCCTACTGGGTAAAGATAAGTCTCCCAAATCTCGAAGAGCCAATCGACATCCTCTCGAAACGACCCGTCTCGGGCTACCCTGTTCAGTAAGAGACCTCATCTTCTCGTGTCTTTGTACTTATTTTTCACAAGAAAGGGTTGGGCAATAGTTCGCATTTAGTATTTTTAAGTCTTTGTGTAAGGAATGGTTCTGAGGAACCTGACTCTGATACTAACTGTAACGACCTAGAACTTAAAAGAAAATAAAATCATAAATTGAATGTATAAGCGAAATAATATAGTTAAGGTTTATATTGCTTACATAATAATTTAGAATACCCAATAGAGATACGGAAATGACTCTTCTAAACAAACAAGTGAAAAATCAAGAAATAAATGAAAAGTAAACAATTAGGTATCATAGGACAACCTTTACTAGCCTTTAAAGGGAGTTCGGATGGTGAACTATGCACAACCCTCTTGTTGATTGGAATTTGGATTTTACTTCTCTTAATCTGAAATGGTTAATGAAAGGGTGAACTACACTAACCTAGTAAGAATATCACACTAATCACTAATACAGAAATAAAGGTTAGTAAAAATCATAAAAACGACTAATGGAACTCTTAAATTAAATAAATTCATTTATCATAAATAAAATTATTTATTGTATACTTACCGCAACGAGATTTTCAAAACCGACTTATGGAGGTAATAACACAAATAAGATTATAATCTCATATTCAATTAATCAGAATAACAACTTTTCCTTTTTATTTACTTACTAGTATACCTAGGAGTCCATAGAGATGTTCCACTACGCGTGAACGCATAACACAACTTGTCAACTAACCTGTCATCCCCATACTCCGTCTGGCATGAGCGCCAAAAGTACCATCCCTCACTACCATGTCCGGTATGAGGGTAAATCGAGCCGTCCCCATATCTCATCCAATATGAGCGCCAAAGGTACCATCCCTCAATACCCGGTCGTATGAGGTAACATTCACGGTAGGGTTCCCTATGTACCCGATCCGTCTACCATCTCTCAGGATATCCAATAAGACAACTGTTTCATTAATTCACTTAACCAAGCAATTTTCCGTTTACATTTAATTTTCAGTTTCACAATTTAACTGTAAATCACACAAGACAAACAAAACATGCATCAAGAAAATACAATTAAATCATCTTACTAATTTAATGTATTATCATGCATTTAAAACTGTAAAATTAAACAATCAGTTAAAACAGTATAAACAGTAATAAATACAATTAAATCATCTTACCAAGGAAATACAATTAAATCATCTTACCAATTCCAGTGTATTATCATATATTTAAAACTGTAAAATCAAACAATCAGTTAAAACAGGACAAACAGTAATAAATAACCGGTTTCGGCTTCATTAGTAACCTGTAATTAATTATCAAATTTTTTTAAATTACACAAAATACCGAATTATTTATAATTAGATTTTAATTCTATAACAGGGAATAAGGTGAAAAATTCTTACCCGAATCGGTGTTCGACACACCGAACTTTCATAACAAGAAATAAGGTGAGGGATTTTTACCCGAATCGGTGTTCAAAACACCAAATTTTCAACTACACCTACTGGCGGTCCCCGAATTTTCTAAATTTTCTTAAGGAGATTAAAACATACTTGACATACCTAAAAATACCCTAAAAAATATAAAATCGGTGTTAAAAACCTTTTCTGGTAAATTTTAAATTTCCAGTACGGCGGCACCATCGTGTTCTGGCGACGGCACTGCCGTCTGCAGCGGCGGTTTGCCTCAGACTGGTCGTTTTCGACCAATTTCAACTAGTTTCAATCAGTTTTGGTTAGTTTTGGCTGATTTTATACCCATCCATGCAAGAAAACACGTTAAGGGGCTTAGGTTGACCAAAAAAGTTAAAAAATAAAAACTTTTTGGCGGCATAATTTTTTGGTGCTGCAGCTCCACTGGCTTGCCTTCGCGGCTGGGTTTTTTTTTTTCGATCAACCTGTAGAAAACAGAATGTGAATACAATAGTGAAAAAATCACACAAAACAGGAAACGGGAAGAGGCTCATTAGAGGCGATTTTTTATTTTTCCTGCGACGGCGCTGCTAGGCTTTACCCGTGATTTTTGGCTCATCCACCCTTCTTTTTTCTTCGATTTGGTCATGTGGGTGTTCAAAATCAAATTTTAAATAAAGAGAAGAATTTTTACCTTCTTTGGCGGTCGAAAGTGGCTCCAGCAGGGCGGCGGGCGATTGTCGGCTCCCTTCTCCAGTGTTTGGTCCTTCTTCTCCAGGGGTGGGGCTGGCGGCTAATGTTTGGGTTCGGTGTAAAGTGAGATATTTATACCAGTCTCCCTTAAATATGGATCGTTTATCATGTTTGATCTCGACCGTTCGATTGCGATTAAAGAAAAAATGAATCTGGACTGTTTATCGCAATTTGATTTGGACCTTACGATCACGTTTAAAGAGGGAACGAATTTGGGTCATTCATTACGTTTAATCGCGATCGTCCGATCATGCCTGAGGAGGGAACATATCCGGAATGCCCACGCACGCGGGAACGCATCCAGACCGTCCGATCACGAGCAGGCAAATTGCCAGCGTGGCCTCCCGCATGGCACCGAGTCAACATACCTTGTCATACGGCGCACTTCGTTTCATCGGGACTGCTGACTGGTAATCCTACGTGACAGTTTTTTTAATTGTGATTTGACCATCAGTTTCTGATTTTTCTTTCAAAAATACATTCTGAACTCAAATTTTCATCCATTTTTTTCATAATTGTTTTTGGTTTCATTTTCCATCTGTTTTTTTTCTAATTTGACATTAAATAAAAATTTATAAATTTAAAAATTATATTTATATATATTTTTTTAATTTTAAAATTAATCTCGAACCAAATTTTAAGTCCAAATATTGCATATATATTTAATTTTTTATTATTATAAATATATTTGTTATTATAAACATACTTGTTACTTGCTTTTTCTTTTTATTTCACTCGTTTGTGTAATTTTTAGGCCTGACAAATTTTTTAAGTTTAAAATAGTTTAAGCTCTAAAACTTGTTTTCAATTATTTGACTTATGTATTTGATTTATAAATTTCTAACTTTGTCTTTATAACAGCCAACCTTTGGCTGCAAACCCCGCCATCGGCATAACCTTGCGATCACCTTGCATTTTGAACCGGTTACGCATAGTTGCGGATTTAGGCTCCTTGTGCACCAACGAGTCAGAGCTGGCCTTGGAAGTTATCAAAGGTCTGTGAGAAGCTGCAGCTCGAGCAGGAGAGGTCGAAGGCTATGTCCTTGCGGACTAGGGAGTCACTTCTAATGCAAGTAATACCGTTTGTAGATTTACTATACAACAATAAATCAAATATAATTATTTATAAGTAAATAAATTTTCATGTTTGTAAAAGATATTTTAATTTTTAAATATTTTTAATATCACAAAAATTAAAAACTAAAAAAATAATTTATTAACTAGACTTTGGAGTGCTGGAGATGGTCATCTTGGTTCCTCTTATAGACGCAGAAGAATTTATTTTTTAAATTGTAAATTTTTCATCTTTTATTTTTTTTTGTTATATTAAAAAATAATTAAAAAATTTTTTTTGCATTACATTTGAGGTTAAAATTTGCTTATTTAAAAATAATTATATATCTGATTTGATGTCACATGACAAATTTTTATTAATTTTATTAACAAACGAATATAAATTAGTACATAATTTTTGAAAATAAAAATATAAAAAAAAAATAAAAAATTTTAAATATTTGAAAATAATATAAAGTCCAATTTAACATTTAATCTCAGAATAAAATCTAATTTGAACAATTGTTGAGAGAATTTTTCCTTCCTCTATCATTTACCTTACTATTTATAAAAGTTACAAACACTGTGTTAAAATTTCAATTTATTTTTTTTAAAGAATCATTTCTCCTTCTCCAAGGACTTTAGGTTACAGTATATATTCACTACTATGTTTTTGTTTCGTACTCTTTGTGAATCTAAAGTATCTTTGCAAGTTACATATGTAGGCATGATTCTCTGAGGATAAGCTAGAGACAAACCCTAAATTACAAGCTAGCCATCATAAAATATACTCATTCCAACTGGCTCATGTTTCTGTCAATTACCAATTTCATTCAACTAGCATCTTCCCAGATCAAAATTTCTAACCAATTACCAAATCCCATTTACAAAACATATCTTTACATCGTAAGTAGCATTTTCCCTAAGCTGTCCGAAATCAGTCTCCCACCTGCTATTCCAACAAAAGGCGACGTCTTGTGGACTTGGAGAAGTTGGAGCTTGATGTCTTCCTCTTCTCATCCGATGTCCTGCCACCAGAATCGGCATTCTTGCTTGTATCTTCTCCTAATTTTGTCTGAACTTGTACTTTTGTTGAGCGGTAAAATTCAGTAATGTTCAGTTGGACACCTTTCGAATTTGGCAATTCTGAGTTTTTGCCAGACCCTTCAGAACTCAAGATTGGATTCTTTCTTCTTTTTGATTCTTCCAGTTCCTGCTGCCAAATTTCAAGGACACAGAAATAATCATGCAACTTTTTCAAGGGTATTCTATTTCTGTATATCCTTTTCATAAGACATAATCAATAATGAGTATAACAAGTTGATGAAGTAATGAACTAGTAAAGCACCAAAGGCAAAACCCAAGTCCCCCCCCACTCTATATGATAACCAAAACTAGCATTTTCTCCCTTATTATTTCACCAGATATCACCTTAACCTATCCAACTCGAAGAGTTTCTGCCATATGTTTGAATAGCGGCTACTGTTACTCCACAAACACGATGCAAATGCTACCTTCTTTGCCTCAGTCAATTATATCCATAACATATCAACTATTTTCAGTTAACCACACACCAGCTCTTAATCGAAAACCACAGCAGCCCCTTTCATTCTTCATGACAAGATAAATGACACGAGATTCAATAACTACCTAAGGTCAGAAGTCTAGTAGAAGAGCCTTGTTGGAAAAATAACCAAAACAACTTTATAAAATTCAAATGTTTTTTGGAGAGGAAAAAGGTAGATTTTTTGAGTTCAACACTTAATTCTATCTACAATATTTGAGATTCAATCCGAAATATAAACAAGGTAAAACTGGTCAGAGAGAAAAAAAAATAGCAAAAGATTCGTAAAAGTAGAGCAGAAAACAAATCATACTTTCTTCTGGTAGAACTTGTCAACTTCATCTGGAAAAGCAGATCGAACAAGCTCCATGTTTTCGTCTGTCAACAAAAACCAGCATCCATCAACAAGAAAAATCTGTAGGTCACTTGACTCATCCAACAGATCAACAGGCTCATCAACTTCTATAACGTCTCCTTGCTCCTTAGCACATTCTTCAACCGGTAATGTGTTGACGACACTACTTGACACGAGTGCAGCTTTCTGCCATTTGACCACAAAAAGTCGATGCCCATACCGAATCTTTATGCGGTGAATAGAATGAAAATCATATTGCCCATATAAGAAGGTGTTCACTGGATTTCTAGCCATTTCTCTTAAATATATAGTGGACAACATTGGAAGCATTCTCTGACGAGTATAAGATGACTCCCAGAGCTGGTGATAAGCCAAGAAATCAACCAGCATTTCAGTTTTTGGGCTTCCCCAAGATATAGAATTGCCATCAGTTGCTGCAAATGTAAATAAGTAGAATAATAAATAAATATCTGCGTCATACAAAGAAATAACCATAAACTGATGAGCTTCCCATGGTAGCCCACAATACAGAATGGGCAGCAGTTGCTCCATCTAAACAAAAATATTTAAATGATACAAATAAACCACCAAAAATTATGCGTTTTTCCATCATATACAGCAGCCATCTTTTACTGTGTCTAAAACAAATATTTATTATCATACAGAGAAATAACCAGAAACTTAAATGAACCCAAAAAAATGCCTGCGTAGAAATCCTAGAAAAACAACCCATATGAATGCATATTTCTCCCAAAAAAAAAAATAATAAATAGTAGATTAATTCCAAAAGGAAAATGAAAAAAGGAAGCAGGAACCACTAACCAGAGAATATGTAGAAAGAAAAAACTAAAACCAATTGGCTTGATCATAAGATGTTCAATTAAACACACTGCAAACACCTAGCTAGCATAAAAATCTACTGAAAAGATCAAATCAACCTATTAAGATCGATGGCACTTAAGAAACTGAACCATCATACCAGCATTGTTTCCATTATTGTCACACAAATAGAGCTCAATAATTTGGTTATTAGGAAATTTTGGTTCTGCAGTAATCTTGTTACAAACTTTAGTCCACCAGTTTCCGTGTTTCTTTTGCTCCTTTTCTTCTAGAGACTGCCATTAAAATAGATAATTGTAGTTATTTGGAGTGAAAAAGCAGAAAACCCAAAATCAACATATTATAAACCCAAAATAAAAAAAAAAGAAAGTTACCTTTTCACAGGGGACGCATGTACATTTAAACCCTGCAGATTTTTCTATACAACCATTAATATCAGGACCACAATATTCACAAGAAAACTTGAAATGTGCTCTATTGTTGCCAGGATGCCCACAAAAGGAA